TATGAAATAATTTTTAATTATATATTTTCTATACATTTTTTTATGAATGCAGTGCAAACAAATATAATGTTAAAAATGTGAACAAAAAAGTGAATGTGAAAAAAGAATTCCAAATGGTCATATCTGCAACTTCAATGCATGTGACCCATTTTAAGAGTCATTATTGATTCAGCTCACAAAGAAGAATAAGAATGCTGGCGTCAGAAGGAGGGAGCTCTGCAGAGATTTCTGAAGTAGGGCATCAGCTCTGTTCTGGTGTATCCATATATAGCAGAGACATACGTGTACAGAGGTGCTCCAAATAGCAGAGAAACACGACTCTTCGCAGTACAATGAAGAGATTGCTGGAGAATGTCCAGAAAATTGTACAATCAAAAGATGAATAAAACTGCCTTATATATTCTAAAGCTCATTCAAGATCCTAAACACCCGCTCATATTAAAGCATTTGAAATATGTAATTACTTTAAAACCATTAACCCAATCCGCTATTCGTACGTTCAGGGACATTTAGTTTAATTGCTGGTTTATCTAAATGAATTGTGTGGAAAAATCACTGCTCTCATTTTCAGCTTCAGAAATCACTTGACTCACCAGCTATTATGTAACAGCATGTCTCGAAATGTCATGGATAAAGTGTCAGCCACATACATGTTGGTTGCTACATTAAAGTGACTATTGATGCAACTAGAAAAGCTATCTACAGTCCAGAGTGTGGTTCAAACTGAAGGTCGTGTGTTCTTGGATTCACTTACACAATCACATTATAGATTGTATCGAGTACAACCGAGAACATGGTCAAATTAGATGAGTTACTTTAAAGGCTTAACCCTTCATTTTATTAAAGCACACCTGCTCTCAGCAAAGCCATTTCCTCTCCCCCACAAAATGGCTGACATCTCACACAACTGCAGCGGTTGCCTTGGTGATGAGAGAAGGACTGCAATATTCTGAGAAACAGCAGCATGCAATCACAATCAGTCAGTTGAAATGCACTTAATACAGTCTGCACACACACAGCAAACAATACAAGTCACTGACCTTAAAGGGGCCAAACGAAATATTCAACAACCAAATATACTAAATAAAAATACGGGTTTCTTAATTCCTTTAGCTCAATTCTTAGACATGATGCATTAAAGGGTTAGTTAAATTTTTTGGGTGAACTATCCCTTAAAGGGCACAGTTTCGACCTTAAATAAACCACCGCAAAGGTAGCTTGAGAAACGCTGCAGGGTAGAGATGACAACTGGATTACAGGTCAAATATGAAATATCCTATTAACTAGAACTATAAGCACAGTCTATCTAGCATCATTTTCTGCACTATCCAGTTGAAGATGTTATAGATATAGGAAGCTGTCCCTACATAATCTGTCTAAGATGTTGTATTGGGACATGAAGGCATTAACACACTGCTTCAGACGGGCAACTCTCCAAGACAGCAGCTGCTTCAGCGTTAAACTCTCCATTTCCTCTCTGCCACAGAGATTATGCAGCCAAACAGCAACTCAACAAAATCATACCCAGGCATGAAAGACCAATTGCTACTGCTGTCAGAGAGCAAACAACACATACTACACATTCTAAATAAATAAATAAATAATATACTGTATATATTATAGATATATCTGTATCTAGATAGATAGATAGATAGATAATGTGCACACACACAGACACACACACACACACACACACACATATAGTATTATATATAGTATAAATACATAGTATTTATTTGAAAAAAAAACAGTAAAAGCAGTGATGATGTGACATTTTTTAATTTAAATGAGCAGTTTCCTATTTTAATATATTTTAAAATATAACTTATTCCTGTGATGCAAAGCTGAATTTTCAGCAGCCATTACTAGTTTTCAGAGTCACATGATCATTCAGAAATCATCCTAATATGCTGATTTGCTGCTCAATAAACATTTCTTCTTATTATCAATGTTGAATACAGTTATGCTGCTCAATAATATTTTTTATATTATATTTAAATATTTTTTATATCATATTTAATATTTTTTAGGATTCTTTGATTAATATAAAGTTCAAGAGAACAGCATTTATTTGAAATATAAATATTTTGTAGCATTATAAATGTCTTTTGATATCTACTATAAAATATAACAAACATAAAAACCTACTATTAATATACATTTGATAAATGTAAGGTATCCACTGTTTACCTTTTTTTGGAATGAATGAATAAATAAGTAGCTAGATCCAAGTACCCTCATCTCTGACTTTACTATCTAGCAACATTCAATGGCACCGTTTAGCCGGTTCAATCAGAGCTGCCTGTTAACCAGCATAAACAAGGTCATTGATCAGAGTCTGCAAATCACGTGGACTTGCCAGTAAATGCCCCACACAAACAGAAACATCGTTACACACGAGCAGGGCAGATGGTCTTTTCAGCTACCATTACACAGAGCCACCAGTCATTCCATCAGGGAAAGGTCAGTTAAAACACTGCAGACAACTATTCGTAAAAGGTCAGCTGCCCCGTAATGTCCTTCGCACCCGACAGATCGTTTCTTTCAAATAATGCAAACTTTAAAAATAACTTGCTGACTGTCAGGTAGCTCTAATGTACTTCTCAAAAGAGTTGGCTTTTTGTGCACTAATTTGCTCACAAAACCGCATGACGGATGGTTTGGTGTTTTCTTTCTTGGTTTTTTTGGACACAGATTTATTGCATCTCTTTGTTTTGTGAGACAGTCCTGAAGTCATTCAGTGGGAAAACACGAGCCAGAATAAAGGGACTCCATCTGCCAGGCCAATTAGCGCCCGCACCCCACCCCTCTATTCCCTTCCTCCCCACACCCTGTTCAGACACAGGGAACATAGAGTCGACAGCCTCAAAAAAATAAAAAAATAAAAAAATAAATAAACCCTCTGCTGCTGCCGTTGCCATGGAAACACGGCCGTCAGCCGAGCCCTCCCACCAACACAGGGATTTTGAGCATCCAAAAACCACATTTTGAGACCCTAAGAGAAGGGGGAGAGAGTGGCTGTCTTTGTCTTTCTCTTCATCTTGTCATGAGGTTTGGTAGAGAAAGATGAAATGTGACATTTAAATCAACAAGGATCCAGTGTGTCAATTCAGGAGCAAAATAACAGAATCAAATACTGACATCTAGAAAATCACCACAAAAGCACCACAGATTGTAGCTAAAACATGAAAAATACTCAGAAAGCTGTCCTTTCTTCCCTTTAGGCATTTAGCAGATTGCAAGGAGTATGGAAGATTCATGAAGTCTTCTAAGAAAAGCAATGCTTCGTTGCCTCAATAACGCTTACCAAAAGGATGCAACATGACATCAGCTTTTCCCACTAAACCCCCACCAGCATCTTCCTCCTTTCCTCAGTCTTTTTTTCTCCCTCCCAACTCCCAAATACCTTCTTTTTTCTGATATACTGTTTCTTTCAAAGGCTGTCTAGATTTATAGATTCTTGTCAGTGGAGTGGGTCCTTGTCCTATATAATATTCATAGACCGCAGACGCTCCGCAGAGCGTGGGTTCAGAAAACTGGTCTGTCCCCACTTCCATCCACCGTGGCCGTTTCCATAGCAACCTTGCATCCCTAAATCTACGTGCCAGTCTGCATTTCACTACCGCAGCTGTGAGCATTTTGCAGGTCGGTGGAGTAGGAAATGTACTGAAAATAATCATACGCAGCCCACTAAGTCTATCGTCTTTCTTTTAGCTCCGTGCCCGAACTATCATGTTTAAAGCTGCACACAGTATGGCATCAGTGTAAGAAGATTACTGTCGGTCTGCACCAACCCCCTTTACTCCTTCTGTTCTTACTCCTTCTGAATCTCTCCTCCCT